CCAACATACAGATTGCCAAGGGGTTTGAAGAGCTGCTAAATATAGTTTACTATGGTACCTTTCATGCACAGCACAAGCTATTAAAAGATACGTGCAAATACTGCTGCTGAGTCGCAGCAATGTCATGTGTACGAGGCATGGAAAAAACTCTGCACGCAAGACGTACTCAAACAGTAAAACTTGTTAAGAAGCTACGGTAAGCTGACTTTTTGACTAAAAAAAGATCTAAGGCTGTTTGTGGCCTCTTCTAGACTTTAATTAGTCTGAACTGCTGCTCCCTGGTTTAAATTAGCCTAACAGCCTGCGAGGCAGATAAAGGATCCCTCCTGCTAAAGACAAGGGTGTCCACCTAGCAGTCCTGATCCTACCTGACTTCCCAGATCTAAGCTTTGCAAACCAGTTGGCTGGAATAATTTTTAATCTGCACGGTACACTAAAAGATGAAAAAAGAAATTGATGGGAACATTAATAGTTAGGTCCCCAGAGGCACAAAAGCCTAACTTGCGTAGAATTATTAGACAGTCTAACAAGTGTCATTAATTACCAACCTTTTTTTCTGTAACTAAACAGCATGACACAAACACCTCCATGGACTCATTTCTCATAAAAATTACTTGCCTACGTAGCTCCAGTGCTTATTAGTGTATCATTTGAAAGCCTTTAATGACAATACTTCTGAGCATTTATTTTTGTTAGAGAACTAGAATACTTCCCGAGCTTCTAATCAAAATCTGTCCCTGTTCAGAATTTATTAGAGTACAAAAACTGCAAGACTTGGATATATGAATCCCCTCAGTGACACCACACACAATATAATCTGTTGTTATTTCTGAACCTGATACACAGCTGACCTGCTACAATGCCTACCTGCTTCCGAGGCACCCAAAGGAGAGGTGCGAGCGGGCCAGGCAGGGTACCTCATCCCTGCAAAGCTGCGAGGCAGCAAGCAGAACGCATCCCATGGTGTGCCCCTCACAAAGTGCTCAGCCCAGGCAAAGCACACCTGAAACACGTGTGGACAGAACCGTTCTTGGTCAGCACAGGCTTGGACTTCAACGCAGATAAAGTTTTGGAGGACTTAATACCTACATTCCATTAAAAGCTATCTCAACACATAGCCTCTAAGGAATCACCGGCCACCTGAAATTCAGAATGAAGGTTGTTATTATTTTTTTTTTCCCAACCCTCTTATCCTTGAAGCCTCACTAAGGGCTTTGAATGTCTCTTTATTCTGATACATTAACTCAGCTCCTCTGGAACTAATGATTGCCAGGTGAGCTATGCCTCTGTTCTCCTGCTCTGCTCTTGGCCCCACTTCTTTTGAATTCTCTCTCATCAGACACGAGATGCTTCGTGATGACATGCGAAGTGCCACACTCCCACCGAGACTAACCATTTACGAAAGGGATCACTCGCCCACTCCAGGTCAGAACGCTCCACAGAGGTTTGGGTACCGCGTCCCAACAGAGGCAGTGGGGCAGCTGCCCGGTCCTGCCTCGGGCACTGTCTCCAGCACAACTGACACCGGCTGACCCCAGCCAACAGCACCAGAGGGACCAGCACTTGAACTGCCAGTTTTCAAGGGAAGGCAAAACATCCTGTTCCATCTTCCCCTTTCCTCCATGTTTATTTATATGGACAAGTAATTGATATTTCACTTCAGGGGTTAACCAGAGCTTGCTGTTACAGCAGCATCATTTACAGAGGACCTGTCAAAAAAAATAAAGTACTCAGTGGCAGATTGAATACTGCTCTTGTTGAAGGCATCCAGCAACGTCCACAAGATAATTGCTGGAGAGTATTTAACACCACATCTACTAATTATTGGGGAATCCTGCTCCACTTAACTAATCCCCTCTTTAGTTTCTTACGTGTATTTCATAATGCCATATAATTCTGATCATGCAGACTCACAGGCTCTCAGAAATGCCATTCCTCTGCTTTAGCAAAGCTCCTGACCACCTTTTCTTATTCCTTCTTCTTCAGCTAAGAAGTTACTTTCCACTGATCCCAAGTCACATACACGTGGTACAGCTGTAGAAGAAGCACGCCAGCCTTCACAAGCTGACCATAAGAAAGGTTGTATCACTCATACACAGGGCCAGCTCAACAGAACAGGCCCTTAACTACTCTAGATTTAAACATTGCTTCATTAAAAAGAAAATAGCTATGGGTGTGCTGACCTCACCGCCACACGCCTGTCCCTGGTTTTGGGGAAAAAAGTTCAGAACGAGTGAGGAAAAGAGCAGAAGAACACACCCCTTTCTGATACACCACCACAAAAAACAAGAGCCAAAGGTCACCCAAGGAGGCAGCAGATGACACAGATGGGTGGATGTGACACACACGGTAAATGGCAGGGAGCACTCTGCACCACAGCCTCGAGTGCCATAGGTGAGCCAGCAGAGGCGAAGGGATGGGACCCTCAGCACAGCTGCCAGACCCACTGCTGCAAGCACTGCTTGTCTGGTGGGGCAGCCCACTGACCAACTGGGCCTCCCAAGGGTGAGCAGGGTCCTAAAAAGCTGACCACACCTCTTCAAGAGATTTACATGACCACTGTAATGCTTCTGACAGAGCATTTGTCTCATGGTGTTCAGCATATGGCTAACCAGCAAGTTACAGCAACGCGATACGTATCAGCCTCAAGAAACAGGCAGCTGCCATCGTCCCAACACCTCTCATAAAGACACCGCGCACCTGAAGGCAGTTCGCTTTCATTCAACTACACCTAGACAAAAAAAAAAAAAAAAACAGATAAAAAGCACACTGCAATTTTTTTTTTCAATGCTACAGAATTTACAGATTTACGGAAGTCAAACTCATTTCAATTACATAAGCGTTTTTCTTTAACTTGGAAAGACAAATATCCAGGTCAGCAACAAGAGTAAGAAGTACATTAATCAGACTACAGCAGGCAAACCCCTAAAAAGGGCAATCGGGTCGATTCAAACCACTTACAGACTTTTGCATGCAATCTATATGCAAAAGAGGCAACAAGTACTGGTCAAAACTTTAAGATACTCCTCATTCTTTACAGCCTTCTCACTTCGGTTTAATTCAAAGAAAAGCTTGTATGCTCTTGGGTAAAAAATCTATACTGCTAAATGAACGCTCTTAAGACAGTTTATTAAAAAACACTTTGCAATTAGACAGAGACCCAATAAGGATGTGCCAGCATTTAATGCCAACAGGAAAAAGGAGAAATGTGGTTTAAACTGAATTTAAACTATTAACGTTAAGTGTATGAAAACAAATGAGTTAGGGATAACTTTTAATGAAAAACTATTTCAGGTAGTTGTTTGTATTTTAAGGAAACCAGAAAACTTTGCCGTTCCAGGGACAGGCTGCTAACACCCCAGCAGCCTGCCTGGCACGGAGCAGTCCCCACGCACGCAGACGGCCACACCCCGGGAATCTCAGCTGGGAAACGAGCGCCGGCCGCATCTCGCGGGGATCCTCACAACAGACACTGCTCAGCCGCGGTAGCCAAAGGTCGTAATGAAGGTTGGAGCTTCTGCTCCCAACGCAAACACGACTATAAACACTGCTCCAGATTTAATTCTTCTTTTCCCCCTGAGGTAAGAAGTAGCCCGAGATGTTTATCCTACTCAGTACAACACAGATTACCAGAAATTCCACTTGGGATTTGGAGCTATGGCCCAACACGCACAAGCAGGAACTCCAGTAATCACTCCAATGATTTTAAAGTGTGCTAATTTACAAAGAAAACTCTGTATGAGATGGGAATGAAAGAACACAGGATTGGTTTGGAAGTTATGCTCTACCTTACAGCAAAACAAATGCCCTAATAAAACCTGCTACTTTGCCATTATTAGCTGACACCCTTGTCTTTTACATCCAAATAGGCTCCAAAGAAGATAAGTATTGTATTAAATGGATTACTGGAGGAGAGATGTGAAAACATGAACTCGAATACCCTGAACGCATACGCTTTGGGATTAAGTTTTCCTTACAATCTGAGAAGTTTCTGGAGGCCTGAAGAATAACTCCAGAGCCCTGCTCTACCCGGGGAAAGCCCCATTTGCCTTTTCGGCACACCGAGGAGCTGCAGCTCAGCGCGACCGTGCCTGCGCCCGGCTCTGCTCCCGAAGGCTTCCCGGGGCCCCTCCGTCCCGAGGCTGGCGGCAGCCGCTCTGACGGGACCTCGGGTATTTTCGTCCCCCCCCGCGGCCCCCTCGGCGCGGATCGAAACAGCCCCGTGAGCAGCGGGAACAAAGGAAGCGAAAGTCACGAAGGGCAGGGAGGAAGCGCACGGCGCGGGCGGCCGGCAGCGAGCCCAGCCGAGAGGCAGCCCCGGGCCCGGTCCTGACCCCGGTCCCCCCCCAGCCCTCCCCTCCCCGCCAGGCCCCACTCGGGCCCCTCCGCAGCCCGCCCGGTGCCCGCTGCCCCTCGGCGGGGCCCAGCCGCGGCCGGGACCCGGCGCTGCCCTCAGCGGGGCGGCCCCGCGCGGCCCGGCCCGGCCGATCCGAGCCCCCCGGCGCGCCCCCCGCCGCCCGGTAGCCCCCCGGTGCCCCCCGGTGCCCACCTGCCCACGGTCTGGTTGGCCAGCTGCTTCATGCGGTTGAATTGCTTCTTCATGGCGGCGGCCGCCCCGGCCCCCCCGGGCCCCTCACCGCGCTCCGCCGCCGCCCGGCCCCGGCCCCGGCCTCCTCCGCCCTGCTCGCGGCGCCGCCCGCCCCGCCCCGCCCCGCCCCGCCCACACCGGAACCCGCCGCCACTTCCGGTCCCGCCCCCCCCACCCCGGCACCGGGACAGCCCCGGAGCCCGGATGGCCGCCACGCCCCCCCCCCCACACTCTCAAAGACTACAACTCCCGGCTTCCCTTGAGGCACGCAGCCATTTCCTGGGCGGGGCCGAGCAGCCCGCGCTCTCCCATTGGGTGCGCTGAAAATGGGCACGGCTGTGAGCCAATCGCGGCAGGGCTCCCCGAGCTCGGGCGTGCCGCTCTGCGGAGCCGACCAATGAGAGGCGGCGGGGGGCGGGCCGCACCGGGCGGCGGCGGCGGCAGGGGCCGGCAGGGGGGGGCCCGCCTCGCCTCGAGCCCTCCATGGCGGCCGCTGCCCGCGGCCCCCTCCCCGCCGCCGGCCCCGACGAGGCGGACGAGGCCGTCCGGGGCACCTGTGAGGACGCGTCCGTCTGTAAGAGGTACGGGGCGAGCCGGGACGGGGGGTGCGGGGCATGAGGGGGGGGAACGGGGCCGCTCGGAGCCCCCCAGAGCCGTCCCGGGGGTGAGGCAGGGCCTGGGCCGCACCCTACGGGGGCTCGGAGCTGGGCCTGGCCGTGCCCTGCTGCTGCGGGGGGAGCCCCCCGGGGTGCTGAGCTCGGCTGAGGGCGGCCCCCGGTGTCGCGGTGGTGACACCCCCGGGTGAACGGCAGCGGGGTAGGAAGGGGCGGGGGTACCTGAGGGCTGGGGGACTCCAGCCAGGCGGGGCCCGGTTGTTGGGGCCGCACCGAGGAACCGCTCGAGGTTTGGGGGTCGCCCGTGGGAGTCCATCAGGGTAAAGGTAAAGTGGCTTGTTTAATGTGGCACCAGCCGAAATGTTTTAACTTGGCGTCCTGTAACTTCTTAATGGAAATGTTTTTTTCTTTTTTTTTTTCTTTATTGGACAGGTTTGCTGTAAGTGTTGGCTACTGGGAGGACCCCTACATCCAGTGTTTTGTGAGACAAGCCAAAGAAAGAAAAGCACCTGAAATCAATAGAGGCAAGTGGGCACATAAACACAGAGATGATACAAATGTATTTTTATCTGGCCTTGAAGAGCATCAAACTAAATTTCCATATATTGCATGCATGGAGTGCATGATATACATAAAAGAATGGGACAAGTACCCTGCACAGTAAAATTGCATACAGTGCCTGACCTTACAGTCATTTTTCTTTTAATCAAAGTTCTTATCTTTTGCTTTCCCTATTCTGAATGGAGCATCTCTTAATTAATGTGCAACAGGCTGTACAAAGCAATCAAAAATATTGACTTGACCCAGGACAGCAGCGTGTGTCAGCTCTGGCCTCTGCAAAAGTTAAGTGTGCACAACAGCTTGAATTCATCTGGTCTGTTATTCCTTTACCCAAGGAATTACATTTTTTCTATGCATCTGATTTAGTTAGTAGGGGGGAAAAAACGAACCCCTCAGGTATTTTAAAGAGTGTATTATTCTTCATAAGAAACACCTTTTTTGGAGGAAAAAGAAAGAAAAAAAAAGAGAACAGTTTCTAAAGTTACCTAAAAATCTCAGTGTTAAGCATCCAGTATTATATTAAAATAGTAGTTAAAATATATGTTTATTTTGTAAAATATATATATAAATATATATTTTTAACAGGTTATTATGCTCGTGTTCATGGGGTCAGTTATCTGCTTAAGGCCTTTCTAAAGAAAACAGAATGCAACTGTCAAATTGTGAATCTTGGTGCTGGCATGGATACCCTCTTCTGGAGATTAAAGGTAAGCGATAGCTGAGAGTAATGAACTCAGCTGAAGACAAAGATTTGTGTGGATATTTGAAGCACTTCTCTGAGGGCTTATCAGTGCTGCATTCTGCAGCACAATGTGGAGGTGTGTGTGTCTGCAGACTGCCCTGGCTAGTTTGCCTCAGTTTTCAGCTTAGAATTAGTTTAGGTATCTTTAAACTGCAGCTGGTGAGGAGGTGCTGTTTTCACTGGTTTTCACCCAGAAGCATGTGACATGAAGCTGACCTCTAGAGGACTTCCAGGGAACGGAGCATGAACTTAAATGTTTTGCTGTCCTCTTTAAGGCTAGGATTTCACTTTCCTTGTCCTGTAACCTTTTATCGTGTGCATGTGAAATGTGAGTGGCCCTAATTCTATGGTATTACTCCAATTCTCAGGATGAAAATCTTCTCCCTAGAAAATATTTTGAAGTGGATTTCCCAATGATAGTTGCAAGAAAAATACATAATATCAAGTAAGTATAATGCTCACATTTACCAATGTGAAACTGGTTATAATTTAGCCAAATGTCATGAATTGGAAGCTATACATTTTAATTATTTCACCTCTCTTCCGAGGAACTCTTCACACTCCAGGGTTTAGAATAAAGGTTTGATTGTGCAGACAAGTCGTACGTGAGACTGCTCTACTACCGTTTCAATTTGGAGAAGTTGCTCAGTGGAAACTTTAGGAAGGCAAACAGACTTCATTCTTAATTGTGTTAAATGTAGTGGGGCAGGGCAAACCTCAGGATGATTACAGGCTATTAAGTCTCTCCTATTAATACTGAATACATAGTAAATTTTCAGGCTTGCATGTTCAGTTAGATAGGATAGCTGGTATTGTGCCTGAATACTCTGTTTGAATGAATAAATTAGAGCTTGTGGAGATACTTTGAGTGTCTGGATTTCTCTTGAAAGAGTACCTCAGAACTGTAAGAGTTGTTGGTTATAAAACGCAACTGCAAGTCCAACCTGCAGGCATTTTTATTTCCAGTAGAGGGCAGAGGTATTCTCTTGTCTGTTTTTTTTAACACGTGTTTAAAAAAAATATATAAAAAAAAAATTGGAAGCAGAGTTAAACAAGCCTAACTGCTCAGAGATGCTTCTTCCTTCTTCCCACAGATCAAAACCTCCCCTGTCAAAACCAATTATAGAATCCCATTCAGGGGACTCTCTTCTAATAGGTGAGTCATCCTTAAAATAAGTCAGCAATGTACTGCAGCACTTTAAAAACTTTTCTGATCACTTTGTTCTGATATGTGGGCAGGCTTTTAATGCTTGAAATGCTGTTTGGACAGAGAATTGGGAGGGAAAAGAGGCTTTTTTCTTTTCTTATAGAATCCTGCCCATTTGCTCTGTGTCATGTTAGAAATGTCTTCTCTTGAAAAGGTTTTATTCTGCCGGAAAGTTTTGCTTTTTTTTTTTTTCTCTCTCTTATATGTCGCTTAAGTTACATTTTCTTGCCTGTCATGGAAAAGGAAGAATGCTACTGATGGCCAGATATACTTGATTAAAATATCTCAGTGCTTTCCTCGTGTTTTCCATCTTGATAAGAGCACAAGTCTTTACATTTAGCAGTCTTCACAGAAGTAATACAGCCTACAAAGTCAATTTGCAGGAGCCAGTACCACTTGTTATACTTCGGTATTTAAATAAGAGGATATTACACTCAGCTGGTGTTATATCCTTCTACTGTCTTGGCTTACAGCCACATTAGGTTTGTGTCAAGATTATAATTTAAATTTGTGGGAAAAAAAATGGATTCTGTTGAGTTGTGTTTTCAGTGCCCAAATTGCAGATACTGCACTGTAGCTTCTTTTGGACCACTTAGGAGGAGCAGTAATTAGCTGCATCTATAATGCCAGCTAGTTTACATTAGCAGGTGTCACTCTAAAACAGAGCTAGCAGTCTCGTGTTTCCTGTTATGGTGAAATGTACAAGTGCTTTTAATAGGCACAGCCCTAGCTGAGAGGCTGGAGGGCTTGAAGGAGCCCTCTAAAGAGAGAGAGTGAGAAGTTGTGCTCATGCTGCCAGTGGCACGCTGTAGGTGCTCACCCCAAGGCTTGTTTAGTGCTTGAACTTTGATCAAGAGCACTGCCACATGCTGACTAAACTGCATATTTATGCATACCATGAACATTTTATTGCTGCATATTAGAGAGTTGTAACTTACCAAAACTTCAGATGTCATTTAAATATTAGGATTCTCTGTTGTTCATTCAGGTTTCAAAAGATGAAAGCCCAATGCACCATCTCAGAAAAAGGGCTTCTAAGTACCATTGTATTTCGGTGGGAGACCTCTTAAGTGTGTGATACAATGAGATATGCTGCATAAGTACTCTTAAAAAGGCGTTAATACAAAGTTAATCAGAAAGGTTTGATAGCATTTGTGTTACTGAATAGCTCTGTAGATGCCTCTCATACAGCAAAACTACTGCTAAGTTACCAAGTTGCAGCAGGGTATTGCAATCAGAAGCTTCTAATTAACAGGTCACTGCAGTTGTGAACCTACTGGAGTGGCTTATTTCTCTAAAGTTGTTCTTGTTCTTTCGCAGTGCTGGGCATTAAATGCTTTAGAGTAGGAATTTTGGTGTAATCAGGTTGGTGGAGGTGCTACCATGGTGTGACCTTTGGGTTGTAGCACAGCATCTGCATATATTTGGAGATGGTGAAAGTCTTCTGTGGAATGCCAGCTTGGACTGGCACTCAGGAACCACAGATGAGATTAAGAGTTCCCACAGGGATTTCACTCAAGGAGGCATTAATGGAACTGCTTCACATGGAACTAACACCAGAAGAGGGTGTAGAATGAGCAGACAAATCAGTCAGATGAATCTTGACTGGTCCTAAAGCTTTTTTACAGCTCTAAAGGAACTTGACAAAGTGTGACCTTATACGGCTGTTAGAATAAGTCTGTGTTCTGGGAGTCATAACTGTCAGGATGGTTGTGATGGGCAAACAGGGCTTAATGAAGTGGCACTTCAGCTGGTGAAATTGCTCAGGAGTTTGGAAACTTGGGTTTGGTGATTGGTTCTTTTTTTCTTTCTTTTTTTTTTCCCTTTTCCCTTGTAAATCAGATCCACACCACTGTCTCTTGTGCACAAGGAATAATTTCAGAAGCTTTGGAATTCATTTCTTGAGTTGCTGTAATATCCATTGACATGACTCTTGTTCTTACTGCTTTTCCCCTCACGCTAAACGTTTTCATTTCATGGAGCCTAGTGCTTTTTTGGCTTCAGGGCAACATTTGTTCTCTCCTTGATGTTTTTACAAAGAAGTGGCAGCAAGGCTTGCAATTCAGGGATAGATACTTGTTGCCTCTGCCCTTGAATGCAACAAGATGACACTTGTCATTGAACAGCTTTGCCGTTTCTGAGGGAATGTCAGATCTCCGGGGGAAAGCAGTGAATTTGTGCAGTAATTTGACATTGCTGTGGCAGTATCAGGTTAAATTGTTTTCAAAGTTCAGTGATTCTATCTGGTTTATGATGCTGTTGTGAGTGTCAGGAAGTTAGTACTCCACATTTTGCTGCCTTGCAGGTGCCAATTATGTTTCAGTGAACTATTACCTTTGTGTCGCTCAAACTTTCTGAACCCTGTCTTGTCCAGCCTGGGAGTTGATTGTTTTAACTTGCGTTTTCCTACATGTCCAGCTTCGCTTGTGACCCAACGCAAACATCAGGGGTGTTGCTGTCTTGGTGATTTGCATGCCTTGTGTTGAGGATGATCCTGCTCTTGCAGGACAGGCTACATTTCTTTGTGTTTTGATACATACCCTCTTGTGACATTGTAGTTACAAACAACCTAAGTGAAACAGTGTGTCACTAGTGCTTGTGATCCCGCAGAACGGTTTGTTGTAAAGCTGCAGAGATACCTTAGCATCAAAATGAACGTGAGGAAAGCTGTTTGATTGAATGGTATCCTGCATGCTGTCTCTTAGAAAAATCTTCAGGAAAAGTTATTTGAGAGTAATCTGAGAAAAGATTACGGAAAGTAAACTGAATTCTTGCATCGTAAGTGCTGTGCTTTGTGCTCCTGTGATTCTATAATGCTGCTTCAGTAGGCAAATTAAGATAGGGAGTGAGTGTCTGAGGGCCACCATAAAACAGGACATTTATTTGCTGGTAGCATGTTTCTGTAAAGGGCAACTTTATTGTAGTGAGGTCAAAAGGTAAATATAAGCACATCGTGCTACTGTTCAATAGCTGTAGTGACATCTAATTCAAACCACTTGTTTTGTTACTTTCATTGCAAAAATCACAGAAAATATACTTGCAATTGGTATGGTCAGAGCCAAATGTGTTGTGCGTGAGGCACAGTTAATAGGAGTATGCCCAGAGGCTGAGAGGAGCCCGTGTTGGACTGATGGGCTGGGTTCCAGTGGTGGGGGGAGTTTTATCTCCCTCATCTGCAGGGAGCTCGCTGTGGGAGGTGCCTTCAGAGGAGTGAGGTTACAGTAAGAAAAATGTCTTTCTTCTAAACACCAAAAGTTTGATTCACTTAAAAAGAAACTTCTTGCTCATAAGAAAAAAATCAGTGACGACCACATGACTGTACTGCTGAAGTGTGTTTTTTTTCCTCTTTCAGCTGCTCTGTAGGTAGGCAGTTATTGTAACATAAATTTGCACCAACGCTACTTGGTCAGGGTAGCAGCATATCTGCAAATGTTCATATTTAGAGCATCAAGCCATATGCTGAAGTAGAAATTGATGCCAATGACCGTGAAGTAGGATCACGTTATTTTCTGGGGTATTTATGACCATGCTCCGACTTTTGGCCTCCAGGCTGGGAACAGCAGCAATTCCAGCTATCATCAGCTTTCATTGCCTCGCAATAAGCAGGTGTCTGCTATCTGGGTGTGAAATGCTGGAGCAGTTCCCAGTTCGATTTTAAAATGCTGAAGAATTTTGCATAGTTGAATTTGATCTCTTCATCTCTGACTTATATATAAGGGATATTTATTGTGCCATTTATAGGCCAAAGGTAGAAGCTGGTAGAAAATCTTACATGGAATTTTAGAAAAGGCTTGGCTGAAACTTTTTCCTCAAATGTTTTTTTTTTTCCACCTCTCTTTTTGCATTTTGAAATAGACTTGTGCAAATTTCTTATCCTTCCTCCAAAAAGATTTCCTCCAAAAGTATTGATCATAAATGTTGACATATATGAATTATGGAGATATTTAATGAGGTGCTGTCAGATGTGTTTCAAATGAACAATTTTTAGCAATTGTATCAACTTTTGTATGATGTGTGTGCAGCTCTGCCTCGGTTTTCATCTGTGGTTGTGTTTGCCAACAGCCATCAATGGAGAGTTGAGGGAAGTTGGCAGGGAAATGTGTGGAGAAACAAGTATGTTCTGTTTGAATGGACCAGAGAAGAACTAGGCAGCCCAGATACTGGAAACAGAAGAAAAGTGATTGCATTTGGAGTAAAACACTTTTGAAGAGAAGAAGAGAATCCGTTCCTCATCAGCTTTCTTCACTTTTTATAAATTTCTGCTGCTGAGAGTCCTGTGCATTCTTAAAGACTTAGCCAAGCATGGAGTATACTCTGATTTAAGGTTTAAAGAATATGTCCACTGAGTCAAATAACCCTTGAGGAAAGCTTTTGTGTGTTTTTTTTTTTTTTTTTTTTTTTTCTTCCTGTAGATAACTTGAAATCACCAGGCTATGGTTAGGTGGCTGTTTGTTTTCTCTTGCCCCCAGCTCACATCTCCAAGAACAAGTAAACGTTTGCTTAGCACTGAGGATCAGCCAGCTTACTTTGGCCATCCCTTCTTCTGCCCTGTGAAGGCATAGCTGAAATCCTGTGGTTCGTGGTGTATACAGGCATGTTAAAAACAATGTTAGTAATTTTGCTGGATTTTGAACCACTGTAAAGGACAGTTTTAACCTACAATTTGATAGGCTTTGCTCTTTCCTGTTCTTTGGTTACAGAAGCTTATACTCATGGTATGAGCAAGGGATGCTTATTTCTACCTCTGGTGAGATGTTTGTAGTACATCCATTGCTGGGTCAGTTGAAGACTTTTGCGGTGTGTTTCTGGTCATGTTTAATGTACCAGTAGGTCCACATCAATGCAGCTGGACAAGAAGATGGCATTAATTTCATACTAATGGTGAAGGCTTGACGCTTACTTTGCTGTATCTCTGGTCAGCAAACAAATCACTATCTGAGTACTTTCCTGTGTGTGGTGAGGTTTTTTGGGTGCCGTTATCATGGTCTTGGTACCATAACTTAAAGAGAAGGGTGTGGGAAGCAGTAACGCTATTACAGAGCACACGCATAGAAAAAAGCCTTTGCTGAAAATGTTGAACCACTTGCTGCATAACTTTCCTTCTCCGTAACTATGCATGCACCATTCAGATCTCTGTGCTGGCTTGGAAATGTTGCTAGAAAAACGGTTATTGTGACTTTCTAGAGCCTTTTCAGAGTTGGTCTCTCGAAAACTAAATGGAGTTCCTTCTAGAATGTTTGAAGTACTGTTTAATTCAATGAAATGCTTTTTGTTTTTTTTCTTCCATATTTTTCCTCTCCCAAGATGGAAAACCTTTTTCACTCTGTCTCTTCAGCCACTCGATTTCTCTTTCACCCAGCTCTTGACATCTGTTCCTGTAGTGCCATTTGAGAGCTGTGTCTCTGCCACAGGTTCCCAGGCAGAGCTGTGCCAGAGCAAGTGACAGCTTCTGCAGATGGATGTTGGCTGTCCATTACAAGACCGCTTCAAACTCTGTTCTTGTTGTTTTTTGGTGTTGTTTCTCTCCCTACTGTTTAGCTTACTTATTTTACTGTTTGCTTGGACATCCGAACAGCAGGAAGGAAAAGTGGCTGGCTATTCTGTCCTCACATCTTCACTCCGGTAGTACAGCTCTTGAGTTAAAGCTAAAACATGAAGGAGCAATCTATCACATTCCTACAGAACCTTGCTTCTTTAGGAGTGGGTTAGATACTGGACTTGTGAAGTGCTTTCCTGCGGGCTGGGTTTATATAGTTGGGTTGATTGCAACTGGTTGTCACAATTACCGATAGCAAGATACTCATGTTGCTGCTGGCTTCCTTACAGCTTTGCTAGTATAGCAAGCGTCTTCTGGCTTTACTATTATTTCCCCCTTTGTGTTGGGAAACCTTTATCGAAGCTTGCTCACTGCTGTATCCTGGGCTGAACGCTTACATCTCAGAATATCTTTTCTAATTTGACTCCTCGCATGTAATACCATTGCTAGACCATACGAGAAGTCTGAACTAACTTTTTTGGCCCCCAAACATGTCTGATACCCATAGATGTTATATAACATATGTATTGTTAGTTTGTATATCTTTTGTTAATTTTTGAAGCATTATTAGTCTAGTTTTTCAGAAATTAGTGAAGGAAGTAAAAAGTCTATTGGGTCATTTAAAAAGACTCTAAAAAGAAAGCAAAAACCCCTGCATTTAATCTTCATTCTTTTTTCCTCTCTGCATTCCTTGAAACCATGGTAACGGATAGGTTATCCTATCTGCATTGTAGTGGCTGCAGAGTAGAAGATTAGGTGTTTGGCAGAGTCTGATGCTCGTATAACACAAGCTGAAAACCACAATAATCTGGTATGAGGGAAATTAATGTTTTTAAAAGAAGAGTTTTCAGTTAATTATTAGGTATAACAGATCAAACTTTCACTTCGTATTCATATGTTGATGAATATTTTAATTTATAATCTCAGCATACCTCTTATTTGTAACTGTTGGTTTCCAAATTTTGAACTTGCAGATTCTCACAGCCTAGACTCCAGTCGTTATTCCATAGTAGGAGCAGATCTTCGTTTCTCATCAGATCTGGAGGAAAAGCTAAAGAAACATAACCTGGACGTACAGTAAGGTTTCTTTATTGTTACTGTTTTTTTGATGAGAGCTTATGGAAGCAGACTGGTTAGAGTAAAGTCAGGCTTGGGCATACGGTATCTGCATCCAGTTCTCATTATGCTATTTCCATGGTTACCTTTTCCTGAGCCCTTTGAGCAGAAGGAATTGTGCAGACACCTCATGCAGCCTAACTGAACTACTGCAGAGTTGTTCCTTCTGTAGTCCCTCCTGCAAACAGTGTTTTCATCACCTATGTATCAAAATATCATGAATTGTTTTTTTAAGGGTGGAGTTTTTATTGATTCAGTGGTATTTTTTTTTAAAGATGACTTATGGGACTACCTAGATCAGTACCTAGGTCTTCCAGCCCTATTGTTACAGGCATGAGTCAAGATTTCTAGGAGCTTAGCTGGAAAAACAAAGAATTATTCTGTCAATGGTTTTTTTTTTATTTTTTTTTAGAGTTTTATCTTTGTAATTATTTTCTACTGCCTCCGCTTAAAACCTATATTGTTCCCTAGACCTTTTGGTAAAGGGATTGCCATGGAGTCTTTTGAGAACTTAACTCTGGAAACTAATGTCTAGCATTTTATTGTTCAAGCATTAGGCTTCTGAAACGGCCAGGATTTAAGTTTTTAAAGCAGATGATGGACATACCTTTCAAATATAAGATATATATAAATAGCGGCTATCTGGATGGGTGGGAGAGAGCATATGGGAAAGCAGAATGCATCAAACTGCCATTTAAATCTTTACATTTTCATCTTCTGAAATCTTATCTTGCTTGTCTGTATTGCTGCTCCTTGTGGAATTTCTCATGCTTCTAGTGACTTTTCTTCCTGTTCATTTTAACAAATAAAAGAAAATACTAATTCCAAGAGAAATTACTCCCGTAGATGTCTATTTTGGTGGTGCGGATTTTATTTTATTTTGTTGTTTGTTTGTTTCTTGTGGATGGAAAAAAAAGAGACAAAGTGCAAACTACAGATTGCATTTTGATCGGTGTTAGCACATGAAGCTTTTTTTTTTTTTTACTTTTATCAAACAAATTTGTCTAATTATAGTTATTAAAACTTTTTTTGAAGAGAAAACTCTTTTTTTCTATTTGTACTTTAATCCTAATTTTGCTGATCTGTTAAAATTGCATGGATTGTGTCTATAGGGTATGGTTCTTCTTCAAAATGATTTTTAATATGCATTTCATTTCCTGCTATGACAGTTCGGAGATCGATTACAGGATACACATTCTTCTGTGTTCATTGCATGGCTCACTTAAAAGAGATTGTTTCTTAATATCTCAGTTCTGGAACCAGGGGAGTCCCCTGTGATTAATTTGTTGGCTGCTGGAAAATCCAGCTCTAGTCAAACTGATGAAGTGATTTCATCCAGTCTTAAATGTCTAGTTCATAACAGTGGAGCTCTTTTAAGAATGTGGGGGGCATGAAATTACTTGCCAATAATTCTTGTTCTTTTGCTAGGAGTGATTTGTTTTTTGTTTTAAAGTTTGCCGACGCTTCTGATAGCAGAGTGTGTGCTGGTTTACATGACACCTCAACAATCTGCAAATCTCTTAAAATGGGCAGCAAGCACTTTTCCAGTGGCGATGTTTATAAATTATGAGCAGGTAAAACAAAAATGGCATTTCTTGAACAGCATTATTGACATAAAAATTGTTCTCAGGAGTGGGAGTTCTGCTTGTGAAATGAGTTGTCCATATTCTTTTCTATAGACAACAGGTTCTGCTGAAGTTCTGTGTTAATGTGTGGTATCTTGTCAACCTGTTATCTTATTGTAATGAATATACAACTATTCTGAAAGGTGATTTGCTGGACTATATTGAACCAAAAGAGCTAGGCTTAATCTGTATGTGGGTGAAACCATAGAATATTAGTTTAGATAAGTCAGAGCTAAATGAAATGATCCTGAATATTGGCAATGAGTTCATAGCATTAGATAATCACCTCTCTTGTGTTTGGCAAAGGGGAGCAAAAATCATATCAGCGTGAACTTAACTTTTCTGTGTGCAAGTAAAATGCTGCCTGGAGGGAACTAGGTAGCTGTAGGAGTTAGTAACAGGATCTTCCATATTGTAAGTTACTGCTAGGGAGTTAAACCAGGTTGTGAACAACTTAAAGCAGAGTTAGTGTTCAGTGCGTGGTCCCTGTACCCACAGGGGAAGTAGTATTGTTATCATTAAACCAGCACTCAGTGGTAAACATGACATAGCTGAGGAGGTTGTGGCTGGGGGAAATGAGACCTAGTGTAAGAATGTGAAATCTACTTTTAAGTTATCCTGTGCATTTTATGACAGACAATTAGAGAGTTTAACCAAGTTATTGCTTTTCATTGCGATTACATTCTTTTCGGAAGGGGGAACACTTTTGTCTCATTCTCTACCTGAGGTGAATATGACGGATCGGTTTGGACAGATCATGATTGAGAACTTGCAGAGACGACAGTGTAACCTGGCTGGAGTGGAAGTCTGCAGATCCTTAGAAGCTCAGGTAATGGAGCACAGAGCTCTGGGTGTATTTGATAACAAATTTACGTTGTCTGCAAGTTCTGTGTATGCTATAAGGATCAGAGCAGTGACTGAAGCAGGTTTGGGGTGGGGCAGCTGCTACCTGCAGGAAACCCTTTTCCATCTGCTTTACAGTGATTCCCTGCTATTAAGGTTATGGTTGCTAGATAACCACTCAGCTTCTGCAATTGTACAAAAACTGCAGTAGATCAGAGCACAGCTCTATCTAGCTCACTGCCCTCTCAGTAGAGGTTAGCAGCAGATGCTTAGAAAAGGCTGTAACAGCTCTTCAAAGAACAGGTCGAGTAGCTGCCCTACAAAAATCCTTAAGGGGAAAAACTTTCCTGGTATCATGTCCTCAAATCTTCTAAAAACTGTCCTCCTTGTTTATTTTACAGAGGGAACGATTGCTGTTAAATGGCTGGGAAAATGCACATGCCATTGATATGATGAAAGTGTACAGCTCTTTGCCACAGGCTGACGTCAAAAGGTATTGCTGATAGCTCGCTTGCAGCCAAAAGTCATCTTCACATGCCATTTCCAAAATACTTTATGTCAATAAGTAGTATGGGATCCCCTCATATATCAGAGGGTAGCTGTGTGCAGATGCTAGCTAGCTAGGCAGAACATGTCTGAGTCTTAGGTTTCTGCAGAGCCTTATGGATAACGCCTAGAGCAACACAAATAATCCAGAGGGTTATCTCTGTAAGGAGTAGACTGCCAGTGGTAATGATTTATTTCGGTGAGGTATAAAGCATCTCATGACAGAAATTTGCAGATAAAAGATGCTACAGAAGTGCTGTGTTTTTACAGTACCCAGGATGTTTCTTGTGAACATCCAGCCTCCACAACACCAGATGGGTGAGGCGGAGTCCTAGGATACATTCGGAACAGGCATCCACTTTTCATGTCCCCAAGGCGGAGATGACATCCATGTGTTTGCTCCAGTCTTGTAGGCCTACGTAAGATTACTTACCATTTGTTTTTTTTCTGCTACAAGTGGGTGGAAAATGGCCAGTTTTGTTCTTCCTTCCTTTTCATATCATGTTCATGAGCTAGATTGCTGGGTCTGTACATGGCTGAGTACAGAGTGGGTATAAGTAAAGGCTGCTTGCACTGGTCAGTAGTCTGCATTGATTTTGTTATTTTCTTGCATTAAAGAAATGCTAAAAAGGGGGATTTTTTTTAGTGAGTAACATTTTAGGTATGTAATGTGAAATGTGAATTGCTATGAGCAGTTCATTACCTGTTGTTTGAATTAGCTAAGCAACTCCCCTTGGTCAAAATAAATATTTACATAAAAGGATTTCTCAAATTATGGAACTGAACAGGTAAAACTGAAAATCATAGCTTGTTTAAATAGGAATTATGATGCTAGGCTAATCTACAGTGACACAGAGAGGAGCACGCCATGTTAAACTCTTTAAAGCAAGGACAGCTTGGGAGAGGTTTTCTTGGTTTGGTGAAGTGGAAAACATTAAAAGATGAAGAATCCTTGGTAGGGACCATTTTAGGGAGAAAAAAATCCTCACATCTTATATGTACCATTTGGTTTGTGTTTTGTCATGAGCTCATGTGGGAGAGTTGTTAGGAACTGCATTGGTGTACCCATCACTCACCAAGACATAATATGGGCTTGTTGTGATTGTGTGGAGAAAATACTATCTTCAACTGTTAGCTGTTATCCTTTGCTAAAGATGAATCTCATTCCATTAGTCTGTAAATACCATCTACATAAATCCAGCAAAACCAGATACATGTAGTATAAGGGGTTAGAAGAGAAACGCTAGTACTCCAGAGAAATCATACAGATTAATCCTGGAACATTAAATTCCTGGGATTAGAAATTAAAAACGTCTCATTGTTTCATACATTGACAACAAAGCCTAGCAGTGGTGGTATCTTCATTATGAACAAATATGTTTATTTTACTGTAAAGATAACTGCTGTATTGGCTATGCCTTTCAATTCTCTGGGGTGAAGAAGTGTACATTAAAAACTCCCCTGAGACTCCAGTTTAAATCAGAGGTTTTTTGTTCCCACAGAATAGAAGAACTTGAATTCCTAGATGAAAAGGAACTGTTTGAACAACTAATGCAGCACTACTGCATCTGCTGGGCCTCAAAAGACAGCAGTAACCTGGGTAATGCTCTCCAAGATCTAGAAGTTGACTCTTCACAATGAAATCTTACATGGAAAGACGGGGACTATATCCATCAGATGTATCATAGAAGTATCCCGTAGCTGGAATGGGTTCTGATTCTCTGGGGCTGTGAACACCTCCTAGGTGGTGACAAAGGACCACTGTCTTCTGAGGGTTTGTATAGGCATCTAAATTGCCTAACTCAAGCCTGTTCAGTACAGGGGAGTTCGAATTTTTATACTGAAAGATGCCGTATGGGTTACTTTAAATAACTGCCTGCTTTATACTATCAGTGCTAATTGAAAGGATTACAAATCCTATGAACGTAAAGTACCATATGGGCACACAGTATATAAAATCACGGTGTCCTGACAACATAAAAATAATTTTCTGCTACTTAGTCCAGTCTTCTGCACTGTCCCCATTACATCCATCTAAGGCTTAAGTGTTCCAACCTGGGAGAAGAAATTTCCCCTGAAGTTATTAACTCTTTTAGATGTTCTTTTGGTTTTAAAGCTGATAAAGCGAGATCTGCAATATCCCATTGCTGTTGCTGTAACAGAGATGCTAGCTTGTGGTAGCTTCAGCTGACCTGAATCCTACAACTTTGTCAGTATTGCATTACAGAAATGCACAATTTTCCTTTGTTTTCTGATTGCTATGAAGGGACTTATTTCTAGAGGAGCTAAGCACGACAAATTCACCTACTCATAGTAGCCAGCATCCCTGGGACCTGCAGCATTATTCTTTGCTGTGATTAAAGAAGTATTTAGGGCAATATTGTGAACTGAGCTTAAATGGTGCGGCGTATCTTAGAAGTCAGAAAAAGCAAATCTCAATCAAATATGTAATGCCTGGGCATGCCTCAGTCTAAAGCACTTTTTCTTTATCCAGTGTGAACTCATTGCCCTCATTAATGGTACTTGTCCCAGCTTTCTCTTCTTAATTCCATGAGCAGACTCTTACTTCTGTCAACAGTCTGTGTTGCTCTTTCTGCCACAGATAACCTCAGTGCTCCTTCAGATTGGCTTATTCAAATCAACCGCTGAATTGCTACGAAAAAAAGTTAAAAATTGCAGATCAACTTGATTGCTAATTTCTTTTCCTGACACCAAATCTTTAGTATTTGTTTTAAAACCAAAACAAACCTCAAAGCATCCTTTCTGCATCTATCTTAATAGTGAAATATGCGTGGTATAGGTATAAACGGTTGTTTCTCCTCCCACACCCCCACCCTTTCTTTTTCTTTTAGGTCTTGCAGATATCGCCTTCTAATGTACTTGCTCGAAGGAAGCCATGGGCCCAGAAGCCACAGCTACTGCCTTCTGCTTGAGACAAGATCACAGAAATGATGGGACTCTGCATGTGCCAAGTCCAGTCTGCTCATCTGTGTAAGCAGTGCCAGTAAAGAAAACGACTGGTGCTGCTCATGTTGACTCTCCTGTTGGCTTTTGGTAGTTTTAACAATTTTTTTTGGCCCATTGTGAGCAATTGTTATGAGGCAAGACTCACTTCCCATTCCTGGATATCTCTAAATGACAGACTTTTCTATGTCAGTAATTCCTGTTTAAAAGCTCACCTTCCTTAGTTTAAAACTGAAAGTAAAGTGTTCTTGGATTACATTATTCCCCTCTTTCACCTTTTTGTGGATGTGTAAATTGTATTTGTGACAGGAAGCTGAAAAAAATAAAGTTGGTGAGCTGCATTACTGGATACCTCTTTGCACTGTGCACGGCTGATAATGAAAGTTAATTTTTGTTCATTTTCATTCTGTTCAGGTGTAACTTTTATGAAGTGTTACCCTATTAGCTTTCTCCAGGCTTTTATTGTTGCTACAAGGCTGTCATTATATTTGGTCCCTTTTTGTAGGGGAAAGGAGAAAGAAGAAGAAAAGGGACCATGCTTCTTGTTCAGTGATGTACAAGAAACTGGTAAAGCAGACTTTATTTAACGGGGTAAGACTTAGCTTGTCAGGTCAGCATGGGAATTGTAATGGTAAGAAAGAAATTAATCTACATTTGAACTGCTTCTGGCAGTATCTTTACACCAGTGTCTCATTCTTCTTTCTTTCCCCTTAAAAGAAAATTCCAGCAGCAACAGAACAAACAAACCTGCCCTATTGTTTGGAATTGAATCTTGCAACCTTCTGATGAGAAAAATAATAAATGTTTAATATTTATAATTTGTCTACTGTCTTACTCAAAAATTACCTATTCATTTCTATTTTAGTGATTGTTTTTCCTTTGCCAAATGCCTCAACAAGGGTATTTTAAAAAGTAGCTGCAAGCATAAGCAGCCATTTCAGTATGCTGTGTGAATTCCTGTAGTATACAAGTGTCTGGCTTTGGAAATAGTTGATAAGGGTTTGGACTAGGGAACGAGGTTACTGAGATTCCAGAAAAACTAAACACTTCTTAGAAGTGACAGTCAATTTCGGAGAAACAGAAGTAGGAAAAGAAATGGCCATTACTTAGCTGCCCTTCTCTCACAGTCAAGTACCAATTTTAGTCACTAGTAGCTACAGGCTGCCTGCTGTAATGTTTGTATCAAGCTGATTTCGTAAATGACAAGGCACAGAAATACAGTATTTGCTCTGCTTGGTCTTTGCTAAGCGTTCCCCAAAGGGAAGAGATGGATCCTCTGTGCAGCAATGAAAGGAACTCAAAAACTTTTGCTTTCAAGATAACAATCGTAATAGTATGCTTACGTCTGCACTTTCTACGTTTGGGCTTAGCTGTGCCCTTCTGCTGAGAGGCATGTGCAGGCTGTCTTGCTCTGTGTTAGTGTTGACCCTTTCTCTTTGCAGATGCAGGAGACCAGAAAGGTGTGACTCATTTTTGCACCTTGCCATCAAAGTTCCTTCTTTTACACAGAAGCTACAGCCAGAGACTAAAATTTGCCATTGATGGTTTTCCATTGCAGTTGCCTGCTGTCTAGATTGGAACAGTAGATTTGCTGAGCCTGTTTGTTGTGAAGCAGGGGGCAGTTAGCCTGCTGCATTTAATGGCCTGCAGCTTCTGTGTTTTTTGATTGTTTGTTTTGTTTTGTTTTTGTTTTGCATTCTGGTTTTACACTCTTGTTACTAAGAGATTTTTAATCTTTCTGTGTGTGTGTCCATGTGCTCTGTCATACCAACACGAATCCAAGGAACTAAATTTGACGAGCATCTATGAATCTGTCTCAATTCCATCTGAGTCCTTCAAACTTACTGCCTAGCTAAATGTAGCGTCTTTGCCAGAGACCTGGGAAATGATAAAAGCGTTGTGGCTCCATGCCCATTTTCAGGGTACAGTTTCTCCTGACTCTGTGTGGCTGTGCAAAGGGTAGATATTCATCTGGCATAGGGAAGAATACCAGCATGCAACTGCTTTCTTGCTGCTTGCCCCTTCAGAAGGTTGATGCAAGAAACTGGCCTCTAAAGATCCACGAGTGAGTACTGAAACCTTAATCTGGGTACAGTTCACTGATACTACCAAAAGACGGGAGTATCAGAGTCACAAGGGCAAAACTGTATGAATAAAATGTCATTTGAAACACTGCCAGTGCAAAATTATATCTGCAGTTGCTACTCAGCGTAAAAATTGAAAAGGTTCCCTACCGAAAAACCTTTGTCCTCCCTCTGTGGTGTTCTGGTTTTGTTTCAGAGAATGACAACTGAAAGGGCTTGCAAACTCTAATGGGACAGTGACAAAATGGCAATGGCATGTTTCTAGGCTGAGATACAGACTTTAGAAAAGGTAAAAAAAACCTCAATCTCAGTCAGTTCTGCTGTATTTCCAGAAATTGTTTTTCCTCTTCTGCTGTTCATCACAGCTGGATCAGCAGTTTGTCTTTTGCTATGGATGTGCTGTCCATGAGGCCAACCTAAATTTTCACAGAAAGATGGCTCTGATTCTACCAAGGGTAATGGCAGTCTGGGAAAGGTTCCGTTGTCGGTTCTGCTCAGGTGGTTTCATGCTGCCCAGAAGCTTGCTTTATTGCCACCTAAGGCACGGTTACTCTGCAAATGTGCTCAGCCCTGATCTTTCTAACTTTGCTAGTCAGGCCTTGGGCTGTCTAAAATTGTGATGACTTTATAACATGTGGTCTCTTCACTGGCAGTTGTTTTGATCTGGGTTTTTGTTGGGTTTATTGCTTTTTTGGCCATTTTCCTACATTTGAGGAGATACTAAAACTTTCTAAAAGAACTCTTATATAACATCTTTATTTAGGCTGGGATTCTGAGGTGTCACCTCCGTGTCCCTTTACCCCCAGCCCTTTTCCTTTACCCAACAGCTATTTTCCTGTCTGAAAATCCTGTAAGTCTTTCCTATGGATGCTGCCCCCTTCTGACTTTTTTGGAATTAATCAGTACCACATTTTGATCATGCTTGCAGACCATTGAGCTGCTTTTCTTGCTTTTAATGAGCTTATAGCATACGGGGCCCTTCCACCTGCAGATACTGACTCACGAGAGTTTTGCTACTGTGGGGTGTGTGCGCCGATTGGGAAGTCGCTTGCTAGATCTAAGACATAACGTTATGAAAGCATGAGTAGAGGTTGGGCACTTTATTGCTTGTTTCAACTTCTAAGAAACAGTAAAGTGCTCCTGAAAGAGAAAGCAGTAAATGTTTTACCTCTTCCCCATTCAGAGTGGACTGTGGCACTGGGGGGGTTGTGGTTGAACTGGGATCTGTTGTTCGACCAGCTGGTTTTCTCTACCTGTAATTCCTTTTGCTTCAAGTGAGCTGAGGTAATGGAATTTCGTGCCTTTTTTTTCTTAAATCATGAGAATCGCTGTCATTTGGGAGCAGGCTCACATCTTCTTTGTCCTCATAGTGTGCATTAGCCGTGTTGCAGATGCCTTTCCATCATCTGGAAATGAGCCATGCAAAATCTGTAGCCCTGCTGATGGCTGACAGGTGAGCCTGCTGGAACGGAGCACGGTGGTGGCTCTGCTGTGCCATTGCTTTTCAGCCATCAGGAATCAGAATTCATCTCCTTTCCAGCCTCATCACATACCTAACTGTCCTTGAACATATCTGATGTTCTCTCAAAACTCCCCTTCTAATGTATTTAAAAGCTAGTTCCTACTTTCTTCTATATTCACATAGATGCAATTTTCTTCCTTGCGGTTTAGGGAATAAGAATTTATTAATGGATGACTAACCTCAGTGTTTGAGACTCCTCTGTACAGCCTTGACAAGATACCTGATTCTGCCTGCAGTACTTTTTATTGTTCTTCTCCTTGATCTCTGTCCCCAGACAGCTCCAATCTGGCTTGCTGGCATTGGCATTACCTGGACTGAGTGCCATACAAGCACCCAGTGAAAGATGGTGTCCATCCTGAAAAACCTCTTGACTTGAACCGATGTGCAAAAAGCATCTGAAATAGCTGAGCCAAAGGTGTTTAAACATGAATATGGGGGAAACAAGATTGTATAGTGCCACAGCTCATAGCTAAGTCTGACAGGTTATGTGACAGTTAATATCTCATTTAGCAAGAGCCACGGTTCAAAAAGAAGACAAAAGCTCTAAACACCCTTTGCACTGCAGGAGTGTAACACATCTTTAACCCAGTTTTATGAATGGGAGCCAAAGCAAAGTCTCACCTGCTCTGGAACAAACCAATGTGTTTGAACCAGTCACCATCTGAGGCGCAGACACTGAGTTGTTGCCTTTTGCATGTAAAAATGTTTTGAATGTAGCTCACTGCAGGAGAAGGCGTGTGCTCTGTCAGTTTTTTTGTCCCCTTGTTTGCCATGGCTTAATCCTCTCTGTGTGAGATGTCGTCTCTGCTGGCATGAGGCAGATACTGGCAGGATTTCTGCTCACCCACTTCATTTTTAGGTCGTCACACAATCCATTCATCTGAGGGAAGTACGGCAGACTGCAGCAGAGGTGTGATAGGTGAGGTGGGATGAAAGGCGCGGTGGGTGCCCTGGCTGATCTTTGTCTCGCCGAATCTGCCTTTCCATCTTGCAGCTGTCAGCTGAAAGGTTCCGCATCCAGCCCGGAGATGGGAAATCAGTCCTGTAAGAACTCTCCAAGAGTCTCGCTGCCAACTGTGGTAGAGAAAGTAGGTCATGTTGTGCTGCAGGGTTACAGCAGGATCAAAAGAATTTGTGATACTCGGGGAGCTTGTGTGGGGAAGACGGGTGTGGGCAATCTAGCTCTCATGATTACGCTAAGATAAATAAATCTTTCACCTCTCTTCAGGGAATATTTGGTTTTGGAGAGTGCCTGGTGGGGCTGAGATGATGCTACTTTGCTGGAAACTTAGTAGCAGAAAAAGACAGAAGGGTTTTCTAGCCAAGAGAGGTGGAGGTGGCCTTTGCCTTTGGCTGCTTCTTGCCATGGTCTGGGTGATCCCTCTTCTCGGCAGAGGCTCCCCAGAGCCACACGGTGTGCTTCTGCCTCTGTTTTCTGCATGCACCCCAGCCTTTTGGTACCGACAGAACAGTAGAATTCACCCCTGCAAAAGGTTTGTTGAGAGAAGAAAAAAATCTACGCTTGGGTAAGCTGCAAGGGGAGAGTCACCTGCGCTTCCCCCAGCAGCCCCCTCCAGCGCAGCAGCTCGGTCTGCTCCCCTCGCCTGCTCACAGCTTCCCGAAGGACTTCTGTCAGGTGCTGCCTGCGTGAGCTCCGGTTGTCTTCAGTGGGGTGAACGCAGTGGAGCCAGAGCAACTTTGTGCTGACTGGAGAGGCCGTGAGCCAAACCTGGATGGCAGCCCCACCCCTAGATAAGGGCACTGCGCTCTCACTTTTGCCACTCGGATACCTCCTGTCAGCCCTAAATTTAGCTCTGGTCTTCACGCTATGGCCACACCTGTGTCATTTTGTGAAAGGTCATTTAAAAGTCCTTCAGATACTTTCCTCTGTCTTACTGAATGTGGTTTGTGTGGCTGTGCATGTGGTGCCAGCAGGAGGTTGGATGTGGGCAGGAAAAGTCCTGCAATCCTATAATGCTGCTCCTTGCTCTGTGGCTGTTTGTGGAGCACCTGAGAAGTTGCATCTCCCACCCATCCTACATCACACATCCCCCTGCAGGGACGCATCCTGCTGGCCACAGAGCTGGGTCTGGGCAGGGGGATGCTCCAGGGGGGTTGCAGAGAGCGGGGGCCACAGCAGTTGCTGCCTGCCCGTGCTCACCGCTTTCAGGCAGGACGCGCTCGGTGCTCCCTGCTTGCTGCGGGTCTGAGGCTGAGGAGCGTTACACAGCCAGGGGTCGGAGCCCAGTTGCTGTGGCAAACCGAAGGGGCTGGAGCATGCATCCCCCACCTGCCTTTACCTGCCTGCCACAAGCTGTTCCCAGCAGTCAGAAGAAAATCCTCGTGCTGGGTCCTGATCTTCACCCTGTCCAGGTTTCGACCAGCATTTAGGTGACAGAGCTCTGCTGTGCCTGTCTTCCCTTCGAGTGACCTGGGCCTGAGCATTGCCTACTCGCTTGTGAAAGATCAATTAGTCTCCTTCTAAAGAATTATATTAACTAATTCTTCACAGGAATTACCCAGCTCTTCATACCTAGGAACTGAATGTGAAGCAGTCGCTAGCTTAGCACGCAGCATTTCAAGCTGCTCTGAAAAGTTACCAGTTCTTAATTTCTTGCTTACAAGGCTTCTCACCTCTGCTGCTGTGGTGCAGGCAAATGGGGTCCCTGAGAACTGAAAGGCCCTGTTACAGCCAGCCCCATGGGATGCCTGTGGGAGCCCAGCATTACCCGTTGTGGGGAAGATGCGCGCACTGCACGGGGCTAGGAGCATCCTTCCCTTCGTTGAGAGCTTGGGGGATTTTAATTTTACATGTCAGGATTAAGGTCTAAGTATGGCTTCATCCCACTGGTTATTTTCCATTCTTTCAACCCAGTCTGCAGAACTGACCCAAATCTGTCCCTGTTTTCTAACAGAAAAAGGTAAGTCTGTCTTAGGAACCCTTGGAAATTTCCATCAAGCATTACTGTAGCAATCTGAAGTGAAGCTATTAGGCAACAGGACCTATAAATGAGCAGAGGTCAGCTAACCTGTGTTACTGCTACGAGATGCAAATAATTCTGCAAGTTCTCATTCAGTAACAGTTGTGTAATCATTAGATTATCAGTCTCCAAGATAAATACTGTAAAGATAAGGCAGTGACAAGTGGCTTGCCTTTGCCTTCTTTATTGCTTTTCAAAAGTTGAACGTGGATGCCAGCTATGCTGGGGTCTTTCATTGCAGCAATGCCATTGTGCAGCCCCTAAATATTTTGTTGACAATTTTTATAGACATCCTGTCAGAATTCTGTCCCATCAAACGTACCTGTGCTGATTCAGCAGACTCGAGGTATGCTCGGGTCCTGCAGCTGGGCACTGTTGAATAATAATGGTGCTTGAGGGTGTTCTGAGTCAAGTGTTTGCTGAAGTACTTCGAATTTAGAATCTGTGAGTGGGGATACTGTTGTTCATATTAAAAAGCATGCAAAAGGAAGGCTGTGGATCTCCGTAATTAAGCAGGAAGAAAGAGAATGAAACTTTTTTGGGGGCGCTGGACTTAATAAAGGTATTCAGACTTCTTTGTACAGATAGACGGACGTGAGAAACGTCTTCTATGGTTCCTAAAAAGTATTTTTCAAAGCTGTTGCTTGTTTTGTATTGCCATTTCCTGTACTAATTGACACAGTTGCTGTTGTCACTTATTTAACAAATCCACATTATCAGTGCAAGCACAAACAAGGACAAAAATAAATGTCTGATAATATGAACAGATTTATCTGTTCTTATCCCCACGCCTTTTTCCATGAGTGCAGATTGTATTAAGCTTGCTGAACAAACCTTATTTCCAAGCATTTAATCTTATCCATGAGGGGCAAAGGGTGCTACGAGCAGGGCTGTTTTCTTCATGTGTTTTTAGTATCTCTGAGCAAAAGACAGGTGTAGGAGCACCCTTGTCTGAGGATTGGCATTGGGTAGTGTCGTGTTAAGACTGAGCTTAAATTGGGTCTGTGGTAATCTTGCTGCCTGTTACCTAAATCGTATTATGCTGGAGAGTTGTAAGTCAGGGGAAATCACGGTACAGAGTAAACATAAAGGAAATCCAACGCCACCTCTGCCAACTCCTGATGATAAATATAGATCATTTATGTGGCTGCTGTAAACTGCTGATTGCATGGGAGTGCCCAGAGAGCCTGGAATGTGCTGGGTGCCATTCCTCTCCCTGAGGACCGCTCACTCAGCAGCTCCTGGCTTTGCCTGGGGTCTTGCTGGAGATGTGACTTTTCTGACCATGCTGAGCAACCTGCAGCCCTGTTGTCCCACATGCCATCCTGACACTGCAGCAGGGCCGAAGGCTTCATGCACCCCACAGCCAACCTGCACCGGGTGCTGCTGCCTGGGGCTGCACAGGGAACGATGTGGAGCCAAACCAGTGCCAGGCTCATGCACTGGCAGGAGGCACACTGAGGATTTGTGCGCTCCAGAGCACTTTAGGAGCTGCAGCTGAAGAAATCGACACTGTTTTATCATGTTGCTTTTGTCTCTGTTTTTAAGGTTAACTTGAATTACAAACAGGGAGGGTTATTTTCCCTTGGACCCATCTTTACCCTGAGATGGAGAGATGAAAGCACAGCAGCATTCCCTGGAGTCCAGGAAGAAGGCACAACACTCCAAATTGAACTCTTTTGATCACAGCACATCAGCTATGGCCCTGCAGATTTTTTTTCCTTGCCCTAATCTTCCCAAACTAAATCAGTCAGGATTTTGCACGGCGATGAAATTTCTGGAGCCAGTTTGCTCTGGCAGTCTCTCAGTCCCACATGGCAGGTACAGGCTGCCTAGGCAGCTCCGGCTGGCATGTTGCATGGAGCTGTTTGTCTGAAACTTGCACCAAGAGGCCAAAAAATCCCTCAGTATTGTGCTTCTGCTCTGTTCTGTTTCAGTCCTGTGCTTAGTAAAAAATGATTCCTTTGTTGTCTGAATGCCGAGCATTTCCTCCCGAAGGCTCAGCCAAACATCCCTGCTCCCCAAACAATAATGGTAAATGTTTAAAAGCCAAGGACGCTGAGTTAATCTTCACTTTTGGATTGTGACCTTCCAGTGCTCTGAAGCCACTGCTCCCCTGGGACAATGCTGCCGAAGCCTTTACGGCCCCTGTCGGGGCGGGATGGCACCGCCGGGAGGGTTTGGTGCTGCAAGAAGCAGCAGCAGCTGGGGAGCAGCCTCGTGGTGCTGGTCCTGCTTTGCCGCCAGGTGCTGCGCGATGCCACGATGCCAGATCTTTGTTAAGGTGCTGTAAGGAGTGCCGGGTGGGATCTGGGTGTGTGCTGCAGCTCTCATGAGCACCCTGAAAAATAGAGCTGGTCTGCTCCCTTTTGCCCCAGTTAAAACCCCTCTCGGTGAAACTCCCACCTGGCTGCAATGTGAGGCACGGTGCTGGGGCACGGTGAACCCGCTGGGAGCCTGCTCGAGCTCAGTGCTTGGCAGCTGAGGGCATCGAACCAAGCACTGTCCTGTGTTATGGGTCAAAGAGGAGCCCGAAGAGCAGCCAGCCCTACGACCAACTTTCAATGTTCCATCGACTTCTATAACCTCTGGCCAAGAGTTTTTGTCTGCAGGAAACGATCTCAGAAAGGGAAGTGAGCTGACAGAGGTGCCTGAAGTGGGATTCCCTCTTCCCTCTGGCCTGGCCTGTGTCTGCGCATGGCCAGCAGCAGCCCCCTGTGAGACAGGCAAGTGGAAATTTCCTTCCTATCCGCAGCGTCTTGGGAAAACATCATAAAACATCTGCAGCGTTCTTTACCCTTGCTTACAAGAGAAAAAATACCCGTAAACCCCAATCCTTAATTACCCACCACAAACATGAACCACTGCAAGCGATTGCTCAAGGAGGTGAAAAGCCCCAGTGCTTGTCTTTTGGTTGGTGGTCAGCATCCAGCCCTGTTCGGATGATGGATGTGTCCTCGCCGTTTGATGCAGGATGACTGCACAGCCCTGAGCCCTCGTGCCACCAGGGCTGTGCCTGCTCTGCCCCTGGCAGCAGCGTGGTGTCCCCTGGGTCTCCTGCCAGGCTGCAGCCTCCTGGTCCCCATCTCGTGTGCTGGTGGCATCTCCGTGCCCTCCCCTGGGGCTTGGGTCAGGATTTCTGTGCAGCGATCCTTTATGCAGTGGAGAGGTGTAAAGGAGTTGGTATAGGATCAAAGTCAGCTTTTGAAGCTGCCGGTGGATCCCTGGACACCCTTGCCACCAAGGTCTGTCTGTGCCAATGCTGTCTTTAAGGTTTTAAAGCCCTTTGGTGTTAACGCAGTAACGCAGAGCCAGTGCCATATGACCAGCAGCAGAATGACATGGGGTGGTTTTTGAAGGGGGTGCCCTGGAAAGGAGCATGGGCTTCAAGTGCTTGGTGAGCAAAGGAAAGGAAAGGCTTTCTCTCCATTTCTCGGGGAACTCTTAGACCCATGCATGCCCCTGTGCAGGCAGTGCTGTGGGCTTCTCACACGTACTACCTTCTGCAGGCTGCCCAGGAAAGCAAGCCAGCTGGTCTTCAAACAGGTGCTAGCGTTTTGGCTACCTACAGCTCACACCATGGGAGGAATTGCATCCTGCATGTTGGCAGAAAACCCTAGACCGATGATGACAACAACAAAATAAACAAAACAAAACTGAAAAGAAAAACAAACCACCATGTGAAGAAAAAAAAAAAAAGTAAAACCTTGAACCGAGGAATGACTGTGATAAAGAGGTTTTATATTCCTGGGGGCTGGCCTATCAGCTTTTATTGCCCCCTCTTTTTTTTTTTTTAACAATGCAAATCCAATCCGTTTTTTAGAGCCTCCCAGCCGCTGCCTCCCCATTCAGGGCAGGGGGAGCCTTCCAGCAGCTCGGACAGCGCGGTGCTCCCCCGGCACCCCACCAGGGCTGTGCTGGCGTCCGGCACTCCCAGCTTCGAGCTCTCGCAGGGTGAGTGTCCCCCGGGGGCAACGCGGGCATCTCCTCCCTCCGGGCTGTTTGCACTGACCCGGTGTGGAAGCCTTGCTCAGCACCTGTGCCAGCAGCCCCTATCTCCCCTTTGCTGTGCCCGGCACGCCCGAGGAGCAGAGTCTGGTGCTTCCAGCACACGCTGCCCCTCGAGGACCCACGTGGGCAGCCGGGTTCTCCAGTCCCTGGGCAGGTCCCTGATTGTGCCCGAGGGACCGGCTGCCACCAGGACTCTGCCTGCTTTCTTCCAGCTCCCCTCATGGCCGCTGCCGAGAGCAGTTTCTCCTCCATGAAGGAGGTGATGGTGGACGTCGACAGCAAGCAGCAGCGTGCGAAGCCCCACTGGTACGAGCGCTACGTCCAGCCCTGCGTGGCCGAGCTGCTGGGCAGCGCGCTCTTCATCTTCATCGGCTGCCTCTCCGTGGTGGAGGATGCCGGCGGCACGGGGCGGCTGCAGCCCGCCCTGGCCCACGGGCTGGCCCTGGGGCTCACCATCGCCATCCTGGGGAACATCAGGTAAGGGGCTGGGGTCCTCCTGCTGCTGCGCCCGCTGGGACCCCTCATGTGGGCAGAGGGAGACGCCCGCTTCCATCGTGCCCCCTGGTTAACAGCAATGACTGTTCGGGTGGTGGGTGGTGGTTTAATGCCTGGGGTCTGGGGAAGGTGGTTTGGCTTCTGGTTGCAACGTTTTGGTTTTAGCCCTTCTTAAGAGATAATAAAAAAAGAGAAAGCTGAATCAAAAGTATCTCTTGGGAAAGCTTAGGCATTTCCTTTTAAAAGGATGTCAGGATGAAGCATTTTGACCCAAGTATGCTATTCCCCTGGGTATTTTCAGGTGAAATACCTGTATTACATTTACAAATGGTTTTCATTCCTCTAAAGCAACATTTAGACAAACCTGCTCGTAGAAAAAGGTGTAGTTTGACTCCAAGATAGAGCTTTATCCTGAATGGAGAAGCTGAAACGGTCCCTGTGGAATTTCGCTCCCTTCTCTCTGTGTTTCCCAGCCAGATCCTTGCAGCTCAGGGACGGGGGGCTCCGGGGGCTGCCCCCACTGGGTGCAGGTGCTGGGAAGCCTCCCCCAGGTTAGGGAGCTTTGCTCATCAAGGCTTGTGTGCGACCCAAGGGACAGTGTCGTACCAACACCTGCTTAGGATGGAATCGCACCCCAAGGTGAAATTCATGCAACTGCCACCACAGGAGCTGGGGGTGCGTGTCCCAGAGGAGCCCAGCAGCTCCCCGGGCACCCCCAGCCCCCTCACAGCCCTGCTGCAGCCAGGGGAACAGCACCGAGTGCTGTGCCATGAAGAGGTGCCCCAAGGCTCCCCCTCTGCTCCCCACCGATGGGACAGGGACCAGCATGGGAAGGGCAGCTCCTAGCAGTTATCTCTGCTGGCTTTGGACGTGTGCTCTTGGTAGGACAGGCTGCAGCCCCTGCAGTGGGTTATGGGGTAACTGGTGTCACTGGTTGTGGCTGTCCCTGCTGCTCCCCCTCTCGCAGGGGCCAGGGAGCAGAGGCGAGCAGCCTGGCTGTCCCCATCCATCCATGCTGGTGGGATGGGTCTGCTCCAGCCCCGCTCCGGTCCCGGACAAGTCCCTGCAGCTCTGCAGCTCCCACCCTGCCCGGGGCAGTTCCCAGGCACCCTCCTGCCTGGGACCTTCCTGGCTCAACCAGCACAACTTTTTGCTGTCATATGATCAGTCTTTAATTATAGCTGAAGAATAAGACGTAATTATGGCTCCTAGACACTCTGACTCATCGGCTTTACCAGCAATTATTATTAGGGCTGATTGGTTATGAAACTCGTTCATTAATGCGTGTCCCGTGATAATCTGTTTTAATTAAAAGGTATCTGAGCTTGTCTTGCATGTGGTCTTCGAGATGAATGATTTGGGCCTGTCAGGAGGCGAGGGCTCGCTGCAGCGTGGGCGAGCCCTGGGCACGGCGCTGCCCTGGTGCTGGGGGGCTCAGCCAGGAGCGCTGGGGTGGCTGCAGGGCGAGGGGGGCATAGGGCCCCCAGGCAGGTGTGAGACCCCAGGGCATCGTTGTTCATCTGATGGATTTTCTGGTTTCTGAACCCCAGTGAGGAAGGAGGAAGGCTTGTACCATCCCTCAGCCACACGCTGCCAGCAGCAGCCACTGCCTTGGTATTGGGGCTGGGGCTGCCTGCGTGCCTCCACGTCCCCCTCCGAGCAGAGGAAATGAGCAGCTGGGAGCCCCAGCAGAGCTGCGGTGCCCGTGGGGCCAGGAGGTGGCCGCAGCCCCAGCCTGGCACGGCGCCTTCCCTGCCCTCTGGCTTCCTGCAGGACGTGTGTCCTGCACGGGGCAAAGTGTCACGGCAGCAGGCGAGAGAGATTTGTATCAGGGCAAAGGCAAACAGCAGGCAGGCTCTTTGCTTTCCGTGCCTTCGATCTGGGCTGCGCGAGCTGACGCTGAGTGCTGCTGGGGTGCGGGCTGCCAGCCTGGGGAAGGGTGTTCAGCGGTTCTCAGTGCTGGCACCAGCCCTGCCGTTGCTGTTCCTCTTACTCAGAGCTGCAGGGATGGGTGCCCTGAGGGTGCAAGCAGGAGTCACTTTCCTTTGGGAGTCCTTGCCCTCAGAGGAGCTGTTGCAGAGAGCAGGCGGCAGTGCCCTGCCACGCTGTGCCATGCAGCTGAGCAGAGCAGCAGCCCAGGGCTCGCTGTGTCCCCAGCCTGCAGTGCTGCAAAGCCAGGAGGGCTCCTTCTGCACCCAGCTCCCCCGTGACAGCTCCTGGAAGGACCTGGTGGTCTCCTGAGAGAGCCCCAAACCCTTTCCTTCAAACTACGCAAGGGCATCTCCTGCCCTGCCAGCACATTGTGCCTGCAGGGGGCTGTGTATGGAAATGCTGCTTCTCCAAAGAAGGGAAATGGCCAGATTCTGCTCCCCTGAGTGCACAGCACCTCCTCATGGGAAGGGCTGAAAGTGCTGGACCTGATGGGCAGCTGGGGCAAGGCAGAGCCCGGCTTCGGGGTGAGCCCCGTGCTGAGGCTCCTCTCTCCTTTGCAGCGGAGGTCACTTCAACCCAGCCGTGTCCCTGGGCGTGTGGCTGGTCGGCGGGCTGAACATCACGATGCTCATCCCCTACTGGATCTCCCAGCTCTGCGGAGGGATAATAGGAGCCAGCCTGACAAAGGTACAGGCACCGGGGAGGTCTCCTTAATCATGGGCAAATGCTGGGGTGCAGGGACCACCTTCCTGCTCTGCCAGGGGCAGCCTTGCCTGCCCCAAGCTGATGCACGACCCAGGGGTCCCCAGCAGTGCACATGATGGCAAGGGTGAGAGGCACTGCAGGCATTGATTCTCTGTGTAATTCAGAGCATGCAATTTCACAAGGCGACCCAGCATCGCAGAGGCTTGCTGCATGGGTGCAGGGCTTATCTGTGCTTGGGGCCAGAGCACCTGGCTTCTCCTCCCAAGTCTCCTGTGGTCTGATTCCGCCCTGGGACAGCCAGCTTCCCACTGCGGGCTCGGATCCAGCAGTAGCCAGCACAGGTGTGGGGGTGCTGCCTCCGCACAGCGCTCTGGGGCTTGGCTAATTAATTCCCCACAGCTGCTGTTCCCCAGAGGTTCATTATACCGTGTTAATCAGGCACAGAGCAATGCACGGCACCTCTGCAGCTTCAGCGACTTTAACGCGGTGTTTGCCTGCCATTTCTGCTTGCTGCACCATTTTGTAACGCTAATTTAATTTGGTGTTGCCCATTTCCAGAGTCTGAGGTGGTCCGCACCGAGCAGCGTGGTGCTGTTTGTGCACTGCAAAGCTCTGGGAGAGCGTGGCTGGCTCATTATCTCAGGAGACACTAAGAGCCTCCTCTAATGAGTTTATATTTGCCAGGCGCTTAGGGCTGGCTTTCAGGAGGAAAGTGATGAGATTAGCTCCTCTTTAACCCGGAGCTATGCCCGCCCACGCTGTCCTGACGGTGAGCACATATGTCTGTAAAAGCCCACAATATGGAGCGTGGAGGGCACAAACAGAGCTCCCCCCACCACAGGCCGTGACGACGGACGAGCACTACGCCAACGCCACCGGAGGAGCCTTCAGCGGCGTCGTGGCCGATGAGCAGATCCCCTCCGTCCTGGTGGGAGAGATCGTCATGACCACGTTCCTGGTGCTCGCGGTCTGCATGGGAGCCATCAACGAGGAAACCAAGACCCCTCTGGCACCCTTCTGCATCGGCCTCACGGTCACGGTCGACATCCTGGCGGGGTGAGCTCGAGAGTCTGCTCCCTGCAGCGGGCGCAGCCCCCTGGGCAGAGCACAGCCGGTTCTGATCCTGCCTGAAGGTGCCTCGGGCAGGGGCCAGGAGGGGACCCGAGGCTGCAGGGGTGGCGATCCCACAATGGCAAATCAGACATTTGGCCCTGCTGACACGGGTGTGGGGGGAATTCCTGGGAACACCCCGAAAAGGTGGCGGAGAGGCTGGAGGCTCGTGTCCAGCACGTGGAGCCCTCTCACCAGACCAATCTCTCCAATTACCTGATAAAAACGAACGGCCGCCCAGGCAGTGTTTACAGTCGGAAGCCCTGAGCAAACAGGAGCAGTTTATCTGGAGCTGTTGCTCGCTGCTCGCTGTATGTCCTCATGGTTGTTAGAACCGCTGCCAAGCTCAGCCTCGGCGCGGGCAGGCGTTTCGGGCGAGCAGCCTGTGTCTTATGTCACTGCAATCAGATAACGAGTGCACGCAATTACAAATGTTAATGGGTTGTTTAGTTAAGGCAGTGCCCCCTCTAGCGGGATTCAGAGCTCTTATTTAAACACTGCGCAAACCTCGAGTGCAAATATTTATCTGTTGCAGTTTTCTTTAATCTGTAAACGCTATTGTCTCTTCTGCCTGGCTCCCGTACCTACGCACAGCGCAGAGCTTTCGCTGTGTAAAACCCAGGCTCTGGGTAAGCCCCAAAATAGGCTCAGCACCCTCGCTCGCACTGTGCTGGGTTTTCCCTGTGGGCTGCAAGCACCAGGAGCAAACACAGCATGTGGCCACCCCAGGGCTCCCAAGACGGGGCTGGTCCCGGGGCTGCAGCAGGGCAGCGGCTCCTGCCCCGTGTCCTTGCCTGGAAAAGTGAGCAGACCTGGGGCAGGGCTGGGTGAAGCAGCCGGTTCCTTTCTCTTTCAGGGGTGCCATATCCGGAGCCTGCATGAACCCTGCCAGAGCCTTCGGGCCGGCTCTGGTAGCAAACTACTGGGACTACCACTGGGTGTACTGGGTAGGGCCCATGCTCGCTGGGCTCCTCGTCGGCGCGCTGGTGAGGTGCGTGAGGTCTGCCCCTTCCCAGCCCAACGTGTGTCTGACGCTTCGGTCCTCACCTCCTCGTGGGGCTGGGCTGATGCAGTCTCTGTGTTTCGCTGTTGCAAGCGTGCATGGAAGATGCCAGCCCTGAGTTTCTCTCTTTTACCTCCCCAAAGGCTCCTGATCGGTGACCGGACGACCCGCCTGTTCCTGAAGTGAGGCCAGACACAGGACTGTGCGTGCTGCCTGCTGGTGGGCCACGCTCAGCACGCCCAGCACGAGCCCCTCAGCCCCTCCGCCTCCCCCCGGGCTCCCCCACCAGCCTGCTGCAGGAAGGCTGCTCCCTCGATGCTGCAGACACTATGGAAAGTGACCCTGTTGGGATGAGCGTGCAGCCGAGACAACCACGCTCCGATTGGCACCAGGACCATGGCACTGACTGAGCACCTTGTCCCTCCTGCCAGGGCTGCATCTGGGCACCTGCAGCAGCTCCCAGCTCTGCCCACCTTTGCTGCTGCTGCTCCCAGGGCCCCCTCTGCTCCCCGGGGTGGGCTGGGGGAGCAGCGGGTGGCCAAGCAAGGAGCCTGCTGTAACACCAGTGCGGCAGCAAAAAGCTGAGTGAAGCAGCAGCGCGGCACGGCTCACCAGTGCTGGCACTAAGAGAGTTCTAAATTCTTAATGCCTATTATTTAAGAGGCCTGATGCAGCTCCTGGCTGCGTGCCTTCACGTGCACCTGATGGGAGCTGCCTGGCCCCAAATGTGGAGAGGTCACCATAAAGCTCTCCTGCTCCTTCAGCACGTCTGCAGCTCCTGTTGCAGCACCCCTGCTGTCCCCTGCAGTGTCCCCTCCCTGTCCAGCCCATGGGAGCCCCCTCCCCAGTCTGTGCCGCGGTCAGCTTCCCTCCCTCGCACACATCCTGGGCTTCTTGCTGCAGAGAGCACCACGGGGAGCTGGTCCCTGCCCGTCCTGCTGCCAGCAGGGCTGCCTGAAGCCAGGCGCTGGTTGCAGGCTCTGCAGCGTTTGCAGTTAGCTCATGGGCTGTGACAACAGAGCTGCTCCCCCCAGCTGCGTGCCAGGACACCAGCTTTAGTTTTTGGAGGTTTCTTGGCACGCTGAGCAAAACAGCATAAAGGGAAATGGGGATGGGAGGAGGGCCCACACCGGCTGCAGGCCAGGATTATCGGGAGAAGTGAGGCTTGGTGACAGAGTCCAATTTCTGAGATATGTCGGCATCAGGAGGGCTGGGGGCAAAGCATGAGCCCAAGGCACAGGTGGCTGTGCCCCTGGGGCTGGGGGCGAGGACAGGGGGCTGTGCCGGGAGGGGAGCCCTGCTGCCACGAGCTGGAGTCAGCATGGGGAGCGTGATGGAGCTGTGTGGGCACGGGGAGAGCAGCCAGCACAGCCAGCTCTACGTCAGGCTGGGATCCGTCCCTGCAGCAGCTCTGCCCTGACTCATCGTGCGACTGCAGCCTCCCAGGGGATGGGGGTGTGGGCAGTGACCCTTCCCCGAAGGCTCGGCAGGCTGTGCTCGGTGATAAAACAGCACGCAAGTGCTCCTGCAAATACTCCCAGGGCACACCTAAAGGTACCTGGGTTTAGTCACTCCTCATTTTGTAACTTTGAACAGGGTTAGAGGTTCCTCAGCATGTCTCTAGAAGGCAGGGTGGTACTGGGAAGTTTTAGAAAAGTGACTGAGGGCACAGAGCTTATTGCTTTTCCAGCCCTTACGAGTGTTGGTGTGAGGTGCCCCCCGTCTGGCCAGGGGAAAGGCGCTGTCCTGGGGCAGGTGTCCCCTGCCCACAGTGGGGCTCTGTGCGGTGCCAGTCCAGAAATGAGCATCTGTGGTCCTGGGGGCAAACCCCCCTGGGATGGGGTGGGACACGGGCAACGGGGAGAGAAAATTAACAGGAAAATAACCCAAAGCAAGTGAGTGTGGGGAGGGAGAGGGGCATGGCAGGGGCTGCCGGGTGACCCGAGGGCAGCCAGAAGGGCAAGAGTGGGACAGGGCCAGGAGGAAGCAGGCTGAACTGTGTCTCCGTGGTGCACTGATGTGTGTCCTGCCCTGCCAGCAGCGGTGTGCAGGGCCCTGCCTGCTCGCCCTCCTCCACCACCCCCAGCTCCCCAGGAAAGCCCCAGGGTGAAGCCCGTCCTTCTCACCCTGCTGCTCCACAGGGAGGCAGAAAGCTGTCACAGCAGCTGGCACGGCAGGAAGGACATCCCCAGCTTTCTGATGGCCCCGTGGGGCTGGCAGAGTCCTGCACAATGCCACCTCTCTGCTGTCAGCTCGCTCGCTTTATTCCCAGCCCAGGAAATGACCCACACATGTGCACGCACATGCACCAAGATGTATTTTTTCTATTTTTAAAAAGGGCAAGGTTGTAGAGAGGCTGCGGCGAGGAAATGCCAGAACGAAAGCATCCTTGACTCAGCGCGTGCGTCTGCGTGCGGGGCTGGGCAGGGGGACGTGCACCCGGCGCGGGGCCGCGTGGGCCCAGGTGAGCCGGGGCGAAGGCAGCTGCCGGTTCAGGAAGGAAAATGATGCAACCCACAGGAGGAGACAAACAGCCTGAAGATGTCACCGGGACGGTTGTCATGGCAACGCTACAAAAAATGCCAAACCAAACAAGGAGCAGAGCCGCTGCTTCCTCCCCAGCAGGACTCCCCAGGGGTGTGGGAGCTGAGGGGCAGTGGGGAGGCACCGCGGGGGTCCTGAGCGGTCCCAGCCCATTTCTGGGGAGCAGAGCTCTGCCGGAGCGAGGCTGCAGGCCCCTGGGAGCGGCAGGGTGACCACCTTCCCCTTTCGAGAGGAAGCACGGCCCGCAGCACCCGCAGGAAGCGCATTTATAGCTACAGCTGCCTCTGCGCGGGAGCTGGGGCTGGCGCCACGCTCTACCTCGGCTTGGTGCTGCACCCCAAATTGGTGCTGTGCCCCAAATTGGTGCTGTGCCCCAGCTCGGTGCTGTGCCCCAGCTGGGGACCGCTGTCCCATAGGGGCGGTGATGCTGCCAGTCACAGTCCCCAAACTCAGACCAGGAGCAGGAGATGGGGTGCCCCATGCACATCCGCGTGTCCTTCCCCATTTTGCCGGTGATGTGTTCAGCACATTCATTTTGAATTTGTCAGGGTGACTTTTAATAAAGCATCTGTAATACACGTTGTTTTTTCCTGAGTATTATTAAAGGGCTTAATTTATGCTAATTAAATACCAATTAACTTCTGAGCACTTAATGTGCTTTAAGGACATAAAACACATCTCATTCCCATTCAATTAAATTTGCGTCAGGCCTGGCCAGAGGCCTGCACCGTGTTTTTGTCAGCGCGTGGATCTGCCCCACGGCCGGGCCCTGCCTGCCTCCTTCCAGGCCCCTGGTGCCACGGGGAGGGGGCTACCCCAGGACCCCCACCCAGGGGCTCACCCAGCAGCACTGCTGGCACCGGGGCAGATCGGGGCTGCTGCTGCTGGGCACTGGAGAGGCCACCGACACCCACAGCCCCCCGCAACGCAAAGCACCAGAGGGGAGCCCAAGGCACTGGAGGAGCTGCCAGAGGGCTCCGCAGCTCTGCTCAGCTTCTGGCAGCCGCCTTTTCTGCCATGGTTCATGTTGCTGTTTGGGTGCAATTTGTCACAGGGCGTTTGTGGGGATGGCCCTGGGCAGGGTGGGGCTGTGGGCACCCAGCGCCTCCACTCCAGGCCCTCACACTGCTGCTCTTTCACTCGGGATGAACACCCCGGTTCATCATTCACCAGGGGAAGAAAGCAGCTCTGTCCCTGCGGCCAGGCTCCCCGGTGCCACCCTGCGTGCAGGGGACAGCCTGGGGAGAGCAGGGCGAGCAGGAGGAGCGGCTGTGGTCGGGCTGGCCATCAGCACACGGTGCCCACTGGCTCTGAGCCCATGCCACCCGCCTGGCCCCGCAGGGGCTCGAGCTGTGCTCAGCACCACGAACACCAAGCCCTGATTGCGCCTGCCCCCCGCTCCTCCCTGCGCAGGGGCCGCTGCCTGCCTCGGCTGGTGGCCCTGTGGGAGGTGGCCGCTGGGGTCGGCATCATGCTGCGAAGAGCTGAGCTGCGGCGTGCAAATATGTGTGTTAATGAGCCGGTTAATTTGGCTGAGCTTTTCCTTCCCAGCTCTCAGACCTGCCCCGCACCACCACAGCTGCGGCCCCTGGGACAGGGATTCCAGGATTAGGGGCTGCAAAGCACCAGGAGCTGGGCAGCAGCGGGGCACCGATGCTGCACCCGTGCCAGGGCTCAGAGCTTGGTGGCGAGGGCGCAGTTTCCTGGCCCCACACCTCCCGCAGCCACGCTCTGTGCACAGCAAGCTTCTCTCTCACAGGCAGAACAACCTCCTCCCTGTTCCCCTCCTGCCACTCGCCTGGCACCGCTCACCCTGGAGCCAAGGGAAGGAGGAGCCCCAAATGTTTTCTTTTCAGATCCTGCCCTCAGAAGGATTACGGGTTTCTTGTGTGCTCTCCCAAAGCCTCATCTGAAAATAACGGCCTCCCTGAGCAGAAGCAGCACATCAAGATGCCAAGAGCATGGCTGCAGCCGAGTATGATGGATGAATGCTTTTTGGAACATGCCCTGTGAAAGCTTCTGGGAATTCTCACTGCGCTGTTCTGTAAAGGTTTTCTTTGCCAGCCGACAGCTGCAAAAATCACCACCTTAAAAATAAAAGGTGATTTAATTCTTTTAGCTCATTTTGTCCCTTGGGCTGAAGGCACCAGCTGCAGGGGCTGATGCACTCCGAGCAGGGGACCCTGATGCCACAGCTCCTGCTGCAAACCGACACAGCAGCCGAGGCCAGGGCTGTGCAGCAAGGCTGGGGGCTGCCAGCGGGGTCAGGTCAGACGCCCCTGCAGGAACAAACTGTCTGGTGAGGCTGCTCTGGGGCTCCCCCAGCCACAACGCTGCTTGTCAGGCTAATGAGGGTCACTGATGAACACGGCAGCTGGGGCTGGGGTTCCCCCATCGCAGTCCCATCTGCTAATGAGGGCAGGGGCTCTGACGAGCACCCCAAACACAGGGAAGTTCTGCACTCCGGGGGCTGAGCACCTGCGCTCACATCCCACCTGCCCAGCCCGGCTGCATCCCTGTGCTGGAGCTACACCCCGGGGCTGAGACCCCCCCTGGATGAGCCCTATCTCCCTGCATGGCTGTGCCCCCCTGGCTGCAAGGAGCTCAGCGCAGCCCCAGTCCTCTGCACCCAGGGCAGGTGCCCATTTGGAGGGGAGCCCCTGGAGGGGAGCTGCCCTGGGATGCCCGGAGAAGGGGCAGCAGCGCCCCGCGTGCTGCTGGGGCAGGCAGAGCGTCTGCCAGGCTGGCACGGCTTCCTTCACAGCTCGCACTTGGGCTGGCACGTCTCTTCCAGCCTCTCATCTCCATGTGAGCCCTGGGAGCTCCCTGCTCACTGCCCCAGGTTCTGGGGAGCCCCCACGGGTGCTGGCGTGGGGCTGGGGCGCCCCAGGGATGAGGGTGGTGGGGGCTGTGTGGGCACCAGAGCGGGGGCGGACAGCGGAGGTGGGCAGTGACGTGCGGAGCTGGCACCGTGCGTGAGCTGGCATCTGCATGTAGGAGACAGGGAGAGAGGCGATGGTAAAGGGAGTGGGAGTCTAAAATATATGCTGGGGAAGCTTTTAAACCATGCCATCAGCAGGGTCCAAGAGGTGTGGGTGCAGGGACGAGCTCATGCCCTTCACTTCAGGCTGTGCTTGGATGGTGCCGTGGGGCCAAGGGATGCACCCTGAGGTGGGGTGGCTGCCCTTGCACTACTCCATGTGCTCTGCATAGCGAGACCAAGGCACAAATGCCAGAGCAACCTCCCCAACCATTAGCATATATGCAAAGAACATTTACGAGCATCATCACCACACGAAAAACTCCAGCAGTTTCAGCAGAGGACAGCAGTCGGGGTGCTGGGGGTGCCCCATGGGGACCCATCCCTCGGGCAGCTGGGGGTGTCCCCAGCTCTGCTCTGGGGGCCCACCCCGACCGTCCCTGCTCTGGGACCCCGTGGTGGTGCAGGAGGAACCCCAGATGGAAGGGAACTGGGGTGGGGGTGGTTACTGCTCTGCTTCCCACCCCCAGCTTCTGCTTTTACTCCTCATTTTATTGATCTTTAATTTCTTTTCGCTTTCAGTCATCGCAGCCCACTTGGGCTCCCTGGAGAGGAGCCGGTACCAGCGTGCCTCCCAGGAGGGGGCCTGGGGCGCGGGGGCCGGGGTCTCCCCCGCACGCGAGCGCAGCGGTGCAGGGCCAGCCCCTGTGCTCCCCCCAGCCCCTCTCCATCTGCATGGGGACTTCAGCCTCGCTTCCCCTGGCACCAAGGTTGTTCTTTGCCCAGCTCGCTGTATTTTAAGACGGGTTTAGGTAGATGTTTATTTCCAAGTAATTATTATTATTATTTTTTTTTGCTTTTGCCAGTGTGATTGTTTGCGGAGAGGAAATATTGAACAGAAGCCACAAAGACAAAGCCTCAGATACTAATTTGTGCTTATGCAAATGTGACAGGGGTGGAAGCCCAAGTTCAGGCACGTAACTCCTGGGCCTCGCAATCAGTTCGAGTACCGGCGGTGGGTGCACGATCCCCCTGCTCAGGCCATGGGGTCCCCCTGCCCCCCTGCCCGTCCCCACACGCTGTGCTCCCCGATGGCACAGCCCTGCCAGCCCCAGCCCTGCACCCAGCGCCGGGAGCCAGCTGCTGGTCACCATGGAGACCCGGAGGAGGATTTGGAACCATCACAGGGAAATTTCAGCATTCCCCTGGCCATGCACAGCCCCTGTTCTCTCCTGGCTGCAGTTTTGTGCTGCCCAGCCCCACACAGGGCTGCAGAGCGCTTTGCAGGACCGTTCTCCCCAAGGGCAGCCACCACAGTGCCAGCCGGTGCCAACCCAAGGGCTGTGCCTGGAGCAGGCAGCACAGAGCCTGCCACTGGCATTTCCCAGCTTTGGGACAGTGCCCAGACGTGTCCCTGTGGTGGGGCTGAACCTCCTGGTGCTCTGAGGGGCTTCCCCCTCCTCCAGACCATTCCTAATCTGCCCCATCCCAGGGATTTGCCCATAGAGGCTGATCCCAATGCCACCGGCAAGAACCTGAGGGATGGGTTTTGCTTCAGCAACAAGAGTTTCTGTTGCTGTTTGCTGCTGCTGGGTTTCCTGGTTCGAGGATCAGCGCAGAGGCACGGAGCGGGGTGGTGGGCTTGGCTGCAGGTCGCTGGGTGCCCGGATTTGGGCAGAGGGGCTGCCGGAGCCAGCAGGACGGATGGGAGCAAAGGCTCAGAGGAAGGGGAATGCTAATCAGGCTGTGTGCTGGCAGCAGCCAGAATGCTGCACAATAAATAGCCATTTTAATTACTGCACAATATTTACAAGATTGCTTCCTCATTTGGGAAATTAAAACAAATGCTCCATCAAAATGATCAACATTGTACAGAGAAGCAGAGGGCTGATAAAGAAATACATCGGCTGTTAATGAAAGTGTAATTGGCACCTTGGTGCTCGCATGCCTGTCTCCTCTTTTTTGCAGCCACGGCACAAATGACAGCAAAGAGCACCGCGGCCACAGCAGCACCGAGCGGGGCGGGGGCACTTGTCCCCACTGCGGGGTCCCCTGCCAAACGGGGGCAGGAGGGGGGGCCTTGACAGCCCAGCCCTGCTGAGGCTCTGCAGAAAGAGGACACCTGAACGTTGGGCAGGGGGTGCTGAGCTGCAAAATCCCTCCTTCATGTAGACGGGTTTCTCCTGCCTGTCCTGCCTGCTGTTCCTACCAGGAGCTGGCGTTTGCTGGTCCCAGCTCTGGCTGCTTTGCTGCCCCTCTCCTGGTGTTATTCCCCATGCTATAGGTCCTGGGATCATGTGATGATTTGGGGGGCTCATGCTTAATAAAAAAAAGGCTTTTCCATCTAAATTGGGCATGGAGAAAATGTCCCAAAATGTAGTCATGGATAGGAAAGGGGGACAGATGGTTTCTGAGCATTTGAAGTAGGTAAGACCTTGTTGGTACTGAGGGAAGTTGCTGCCACCAGCCCCAGCAGTGGTGATGCTGCTGGTCCAGGTGGTTCCCCAGGCCTGGGAGAACTCCTCTTCCTCCACGGCCCATTCTGCAGAGCCCTGCTGAGCATGCTGCAGCCCAAGGGCTTGAAAACATCTGGATCTG